TACTTTGGTTCCATTGTATGGCATTTAGAATATTGTCATACCTTGCCTATTGTTTCCAGTATGTCCACCAAGGCTTTGCATGTGGAAATGCTTTTGTTGCCACTTGTCAACCATAAGTTTGAACTTTCAAAAGGCAAGATGTCATGGTTTCAATATTTCCGACAATATTAACCCTGCATCTTGTCCATGGCAATATTCTTTTATTGTTACGTCTATCTCCCCTAGAATTAAGGGAGCACTTGTAAGTGTTCCTCAGGTTGGAGCTAGTCCCTTTTCTATAATTGGATGAAGGTTGTGGTAGATGGAGAGACATGGTAACAAACCAGCAAAGTTCTAGATGTTCAATTTGCAATAATGTCTTCAAGATTTTGCATGATAACTTAAATGTCTCCCAATTGCCTTACTGCTTTATCTAATGAAATGCCTTTCTAAGTGTTCTTGCATCTTTCAGTGTATTGTATAAACATTTTATATGGACATCTTTGTGCCAACTGGTAATTATCCAGAATAGAACTATTAGGGAAAGTGGTATTTGTTAACGAGAGCAATGCACCCTCCAGAGACAAGGTCCCGTTCTAGGTATTGTGCAAACCGAAAAATCCAAACCTAGCCTTTCATTCCTCCTAGTTATTCACTATATGGGGGAGGCCTCCTGTTCCTCCCTTACTAGCACTTGTTGCCAACTGCCACAACCATTGTTACAGAAAATTATCCTTCAGAGTGAAAGGTACAGATGAGCTGCAGCAAAGAAGATATATAGAAAATGGATTTGTAGAAAATGCAAAGTGTTGGACTTGGTCTCTGAGTGATATGCTGTGGATTTTTGTGGTAAATGAGGTGCAAGCAGCTGTACCGGTTTGACTATATATGCTTGACTAGATGGTGTCCATAACCCTCTGTGCATTGCTCTCAGTAACATTAACCAATGAATGGGTTTCATAATAAAACCTGATTGAATAAACAGTCCAATGTTTGCCTTACTGGAATGAATTTTTAGCTGTTGGAGCAAAGCATGGATGACGTATTCATGCAGTCCTGTTCTGGATAATTGTATAATTTTAAATGCATTCTTAATGTATTTCAATTTAATACAATTCAGACTTTGGTAAATGAAATTAGATGCTCTATCAGGCATAGCATTAGATTCAAATTGTGCAACTTGGATTTAATAGCATTAGACAGCATTTCTTTATGGCCCCATCCACTCAAGGGTGTTTTCTGCACTGCCAAATAGACATTAGTCTAAATGGCCTTTCCACTCCTCATGATTAGTAGACGAGGGGAAATACAGGCAAGAGATGGAATCGCAGACAAAGTACTACACAAGTAGTTTGACCTTGTTTTCCCGCCTGTGTTGTCACCTTTACAGATGTGGGCCATTGTGCTTCCTGTTGAATCCCACTTATGTGGACAGGCCTTAAAACCTGTCCAGGGAGATAGGCACATTAGGCAGGCTTGCCTGAGAATTGACAACTGATGTCCCTTCCAGGGCATGTCCACTGATCATGCCTGCTTGTTTGGACATGGCTTAAGTGGACACAGGTTTAGATTGGCATAAGAGGAAAAACCCCAGGCAGACCATTAAAATTTCTGAGCTCATTCTCTTGTGGACCTAAATGAAGTGTGCCTGGGAACTGCTCTGTGGTTAAAGATGCAACAACTTGTGGCAATGCTGGTAGAGGCAAAAGTGTGACAAGATCCCAAATTGGTTGCTAAAATTAGTACTTAATGCCATATGGGGCTGGGGTACAGGCTCAGGTCTGATAAGTTTTACTAGACATAGTAGTGAACCCTAGCTGCTAAAGGTGTGTTTGCACGATTGAACTATGTTCGACAGACAAAATCGTTACTAACTAGGAGTGGAAAGCAAAAGGCTCGCTGATGACGTCAGAAGCGAGCACCAAGTGGTGTACCAGACACTGTCCGTGTTCGCAGCATCGAAACGACACACACTGACTTAAATGGCTGAGTTGCCCTGCGAGCAGATTCGAAACTGTGGTAAACACCCTCATCTGGTACCACTGCTTGTTGCCAGATCTGCTTCCATCGTTTCACCGCTTATGACGTCATCCTGCTTCTCCTGTGATATGGTAACGATTTTGTCTGTTGAACATAGTTCGATCATGTAAACACACCTTTAGGTGTCAAATAGAAGGGGGCACACTTTTTTGTATCCACAGGCAGACATCAGTTAAGGTTGAGATCAAGGTTACCAGATTACTGAAATTTGTGCTATGGAAAAGCTCCCAGTAACTTATGGTTTTTGAATAAAGTAATGCCAAGGTTAAAACTATTGTGTAGGCTTTTTTTGTTTTTGTTTTTGTTTCTTTCATACAATTTGAAAATAAGGACGTAAACAAGGAAAGTCTATCAGTCTTTGAGTGTATCGGCTAATCTGAATCCTCTCCACGACACTTGTTTGTATTCTTTGTTTGGAAAAAAAAAAAAAAACTTTTTTTTTTTTTTTTTTTTTTTTTTTCTTAGTTTTATTTCTCTCTCCACTGTACATAAAAAAATCTATAAACTATATCACCTTAAATGGAAAATCTGAAAATGGGGAAAGGTGCACAGGCCTCGAATTGAACCATTTTGGTGGTTTGCCATAGTTCTGCTTATGTCCTCTCTTTTTGTACCTGCTTTATATTGTGATTTGGTAACTTTTACTCACACAGACACTGCTCCTCTTTTGGATGGGGCCTAACTGGCTTGAACAGTAGTTTCTAACATTCTAAATGTACTTTTTGAAGGTTACAACTGATTCTAAATATGTTCTTTTTGAAGTTACTATTTTCATGTGAAGGGAACTAAGAGTATAATTTACCTTAAAAGATTTTTGCTTAATTGGGTACTTTTAAGTGTACAAGATTAGCTTTTGCTAAATAGTTATGTAGACACCAAGTAATTATCTTGTGTTTGCATTCTTAGTAACAGAGGTTATTCATGGATGCAATAGGAAAGTCCACAAGGTATACAACACATCATGAAATCATATATGTAATAAAAATGAAATTAATTTTTACAATAGTGAAAATACATAATTTTATAATGAATTTATCCCCATTATGTGACTGCAATACAGTCTGACTAAAAAGACAGGTACAACTTTCTAAAATATATGTATAGTGCTATGTAATGTTAAATATATATTCTTTAACAGTATCTTTATTTGTATGGAAGAATCTTGGTTCCTATGCCATTTCAGTGAAGTCTGTATTGGATTACTATGTGTACATGAAATTGTGATAGTGTATACTACCCTCATATTAGAGGGTACTGGTGGATTGGTTTAGGGCTTTCCAATTGTTCTTGTTTGTTTGTGTGTGCGCAGTGGATGGCAGTCAATTTACAAATATGAAATGCACATATATTATAAAATGAAGATTGTTTTTCTATTTTTGTGTGTATAAATGAAGTATTTTTGTTAGCATTTGTCTGTACTGATACAAAAATCTTTTGGCCAATTTGCCAGTAGTTGTTCGAGTCAGTTTAATTCAAGATTTAAGAAGTTTAAAAATGTGTGTTTCACTTAAGAAGAAAGTAATATCTATTTTGTAAGTGTACAAATTAGTTCCTAACAGTGCTTAGATCAGTTTTTATTGGGATAATGAAATTTTGTTATCAGTTTAGTTAGATTGAAAATTGAAAGTTATGTATGGAATGAAACTTCCTTTTTTTAGAAACAAGATTCATCTAATACTTAACCCATTCGCTCCATGTGGCAAGAATACATGCCATGCCCACTGCAATATACGTTTATTTATTGTATTTATACATAGATGGCTCTACAAGTTCTTAATCACCAAATAGCCACTTTATCAGAACTACCTATCTCGCCTGTTTACCCTTTTCCTTCACTTTAGGAAAGGGTCTTTTGTATCATTTTAATGTCTAAAATATTTTAATGACAATTTAATAATCATAACTTCATGACATCGATAGCAATGGTATTACTAAAAAAAAACATTTTCCACCAATTCAAGGAATGGGAAAATTAGGATCAGTAACTAAGGCCTACTGATAGACTCCTTGCTGGCTGAGTACATGTGGAGCCATCTGTATGTAACAAAATTCACCAAAAGCTACAGGGGACAGAACATAAATCTGGGGCGAATAGGTTAATGTATATCTGCAATATGTGTCTGGTAATCTAATGGTGCTAATGATTCTCTAGCTAGCAATACAAGTTTTCTTGTAAGTTTTACTTTTTCAGTTTGATTATCATTAAAATCCTACCACATGGGTACAGTATGCCTCTCAACTACACACAACTGAGATTGTTTTGTTTCTTGTTTCTTGTAGAGATGTTTACTTTCATACAGTCATGTATTGTTCACCTATGAAAAGGTCATTAATTAAGATTAGGTAAAAAATTGTGGTATTTAAATTTTATTTTAACTTTTTTCATAGAAATATTTAAAACTAATAACTTAGTGAGTTATTGTTAATGCAAATAAATTTTCGTTAATTTTAAATGCATTGTTTATAAATATAACACTGAACGATAGAAAATTTACTACTATTGTTTTTGTTTGTAGCCATATGCAAATCTTTGATGGTAACTTGTATTTCATGGTTAATCAATGTTGTAGCTTATGGATGTAAGCTTTTGGATATTATATTTTGCCGTTATTCTTGACAAGACTGTAGCTGACTATATTTTCTTCAATCACATTTGGAATAGCTGGGTGACAAAATGTGTCATATTGATAAATTATTTGTGTGGTAAATTAAAAGCAATAAAATGATACAAACTCTCTTCTTCATAATGCACTAATGACCTCTATCTGATGATAATACAAACAGTTTTAGGTGCTGAATCTACCTCCTTTTCCTTTAATGAAAATGTAATTGGGTAGGTCAGATTTACCTTCATATAAAATCATTTGCTTTCCAGATTAAGCAAGGATATCACTTCAGAGATCAGGTGATGGTGATGTGAGCTGGATATGCAGATACTCTGAATATTGGTGGTTCTTCATATGTAGGTAACTTAAGCATGACAATTTTGCAGGTTAGTGGAGATTTTTGGTGATGTGAACACTGCACATGGACTGCAGAGCTTGAATGACTACCTAGAAGAACGTAGTTACATCTCCGGCTTTGCACCTTCCAAGATAGATGTTGATGTATTCTCTTCCTTGGGAAATGCCCCAGATGAGAAATACAACCATGTGCTTCGATGGTATAACCACATTCAGTCCTTAGGAGTGGAGTTGAAGTTAACTTTGGGAGAAGACCCAACAGATGCACAGGTCTTGCTGGAAAACAAAATGAATGAACAAAAAAATTCATGCATGTTGTTTGGGGAGAATGCATCAGCAACAAAAGGAGGGAAAAATAGGTGTTCAGCACCATGCAAGATTGAAGAGCAGAAAGAAGAGGCAGTAGTTAATGATGATGAATTTGACTTATTCGGTTCAGATGATGAGGAAGACCAGGATGCTGCAAGAGTACGTGAAGAGAGACTAAGAGCATATGCTGAGAAAAAGTCTAAGAAACCTGGACCAATAGCAAAATCATCAGTGATGCTCGATGTTAAGCCATGGGATGATGAAACAGATATGAAGTCAATGGAAGAACTGATTCGATCTATCAAGATGGATGGTCTTTCATGGGGTGCCAGTAAGCTATCCCCTCTTGCCTTTGGAATTAACAAATTATCAATCTTGTGTACTGTAGAAGATGAAAAGGTCTCTGTAGATGACCTAGTTGAGAAGATTTGTGAATTTGAAGAATTTGTGCAGTCTGTTGACATAGCAGCATTTAATAAGATCTGAATAGGTAATTGGTATTTACATTAGCATTGGTGCTACTGGACTTTTTCAAATGCTATGAATGCTCATGGAATGTTGAATTTTGAAAGAAAAAGTTTGTATACACAATGAAAAGGGTCATATTTGTCAAGACCAACGACCTTTATATAAGTACCTATGGTAACATTAATTGAATTTAACAACAATGATGAAAATCTGGTCCTCTCAGTTCTGTTTTCTTGGTAATAGTCATTTGTGTTCATCATAAAACAATCAAGTTAATACTACTTAATACATATGGGTCACATCAGATGTTATGAATAAATCATATTAAACCTATCAGAAGACAAGCTGGTGTTTAGTTTGGGGGATTAAATCATAGACTAAAACAGTACATAATGGGAACAATATATTTAATTTCTGAACTGAGACAACAAAGTGTTTATATATTTATTTTTTATTTCATTTATTTAGCAAGGAATAAAACAAAATAAAAAAAATAAGTATTTTAGTTGTGTAACCTATATAACAAGCAATATACTTCATTTAATGTAAAAATCGGCATTGCCTTGTCACTCAACTATTATCTTCATTGACTACTATCAATGAAACCTATGGAAAATACTGATATGAGGGCGCTTCACTCATTTCAAAACATGATTTTTGTTGTATTGAGGCTTTCTTTGGAAAAGTCAACACCATACTGTGTCTACTGACAGTATGTACACCAGAATGCAGCAAAGCTGAATGGTGATACATTAAAATGAAGCATATTATTGGTAGTTCCACATAAGAATATATGCATGTGCTACAGTATTGTCAGGGAGATTTAAATACCTGAAAGAACATGGTGGGTGATGAGGGAAAAACACACAGCAAAAGTGAGGAACCAGCATGTCATTGGGAAGTGGTACTTTAGCAAAGCCAACCCCTAGGTTCAAGACAGGTAGAGATGGGGTCTTCACTGGGCAAGAGAGTGAGTAGTTCTCTGACCTCCATGCTTGAATGTGTGGGTCAACAGTATGCTCTGGTGCCATTCTTAATCAGCTAAGAAGTATTCAAACATGACTTCCAGTACATTCATGTAGATTCATTAGATACTATACTGATAGTAGGAAGTCCTTATAAGATGAAAACTGAGCTAACTGTATCAGACAGAAGTGAGAATTTTGTTCATCGATAGACCTGCCACTTAATTCTGCCAGTAAACCAAGAAAATGTTTGTGCAGGAGCTAGAGTGACTATACCAGGCACAAGCTGTGTCCAGTGGAGTGACACTGCATATGCGGTATTCATCATGCAAATAATCTACCTGTGAAGTAATTGATTATGTTTTCTTTTATGGCAAAATGGGAGTATTTGCAAAAAGACCAATTTTATTAGATTTTGGTAAACCTGTAGTAAGTAAGAGAGAGGGAGGGATGGGGATGTGGCTGTTGATGATGAAAGGTTTATAATCCATACTGCCATGTGAACAACAATACCATTGTCAATTAGATGCTGTTTACTCAGATGGTAGGTCTTATCTCTTCAGCTTCCGTTCTATGATGGGCATTGCTTACTGCACAATTTCCCAAAGATGCATTGGTTACTTTGACCACTTACTAAATCAATATATGTAAACATGAGTTATTAAGGTTTACTTGGAAACCAATTAGCAACACTTTTTGAACTTTATGGAAATCACCATAATGTATGAGAACTACAACTCTGATATACATTTTTGCGAACACTTCTTCAAAAAAGAATTTTCTACACTTGGGCTTTCTAGCTTCTATTTTGAGAGATATTTAAGAGAACTTTAAAAAAGGATAAGTAAAAATATGGTGCTCACCAAAATTCAACCTAGTGCTTGGTATATTAAGGTTCCTTAATTTTTCCATTTTTCTTTAGCAATTTTTACTATAATTTATATATTTTATCAAACCTTTTCCTTGTTGACCACACTGTCAGGTGCTTGGATTGAAAGGTCACATTTTAATGTTAAGAAATATTAACCCATTTACCAGCTATCAGAAATCTAAAAGGCAAGATGTAGTCATTCCATACCTGTATTCTTATTGCCTAGTTTTATTGCAGGATATAAAACTAGCACCACAATTAATTGCATATATTTATTCTAAAAATATTCTTAACCCATATATACAAAGTATTCAAGTTGGATGCTAAGCTAAGGGTACTGTAAATACTATTACTTAAAAAGAAAAGAATGAAAGAAAGAAAGAGAAAAAGAAAGAAAAAAATCCCAACCATTCCTGCAATAGATCATCTGAAACAGTACCATTCTTTGATATTTCTTTAAAAAAGAAGACAATGTAGAATATTTCCAAAAGAAGACCTTGAAGATCTGTACATGGTTTACCAGAGGAACATTTGTATAGCTGCTGCTTCAAAACCATTTCTACAGCTTGGCTTTGGTAGGAGAATCACTTTCTTCTTCTTCCTCAGGAGGTTTGTATGTCCACTGATAAGCTGGTAAATTCTTGTGCTCTGCAAGGGTCAAAGAAAATCCAAAGTGAAGTAAATGTTTATTTTAGTGCTAAAATGAATGGTATTTGAAGTTATGAGGTTCTGACCTGGTGGAAAAAGAAAATGCAAGGAGATACTCCATAAGTGATTTTTTTTTATACAATTGCCCTACACTCAACATTCTACCTGCTTCCAAAGTATGTAAAATATACATTCCTATAATTTCAATATCCTGTTATTGGACAGTTTCTTGCAGCCATGATTTGGGATGTATCTTCATTCATGTTTTCCTAATATTTACTTCACATTATAATAACAATGATAATTTAAAATCACCAGATCTCATGCACTATTATAAGTGAGAGAATAGATTTACAGTGCTACATCTCTACAATTAAAACTAAATGACCTTGTAAGTCATATACAATTATTATACAAAAACAACCACTTGACTTACTAGAATTATAAGACATGATTGCATGTAATATGGAGAACCCAAGCTTTTATACAACATAAAAGCAAGAACGTTTCTGGACAGCAATTATATTTCATATATAGGTTTCTATATTCAACAAAAATAGGATATGCTATATGCACACACCGCAGAGAACTTACAAATATCTGCATAGTAATGAGGGTGATGATGAACTTACAAATATCTGCATAGTGATGAAGGTGATATGAAAAAAAAGGCAAACAACCTATCCTAATGGTGACTTATGTTGCTATGCTGATAATCTGCCTAAATATAATCTTGGGTATAATTTTGCATTCAAGAATGAAATTACTCAATATAATATTATTGAATTAAAGTTCTCAGGTTATATAAAGGTCACTTGGTATTTTGGTATTCTTAATGATTTTATTAGTATCATTATTATCACAGTATTTTTACAAACTACTACTACTATTGCTACTACTACTAATGCTACTACTCTACTGCTACTGTTGCTGCTACTACCACTACTTACTACTATGATTACTACTATTACTACTACTTTGACTACTAAAACTACTACCACTACGATTGCTACTACAGCAACAAATGCTAAAATGCAAACAGAGGCAGTAATACTAATCATAATAACTAATATAATTATTACTATCAAATTGCATACAAAACATATAAACTTGAGAAGTCTGTGCTACCTGAAATCTGCCACATGAGGGGTGAGTAAAGGCTGCCCCCTCCATCCACCTTCAAAGTTTCACCTGATATAAAAGCAGCACCTGGAGACAGCAGGAAGCACACAGCACTTGCAATCTGAACATAGAGAAAAGAATAAAAGTCATGTCTCGGAAAACACAATGTGGATTTCGTGAAAGCAAAAGTTTGTGAGTGTTAAGAGTTAATATAAGCTTGAGGATATTGTGAGGCATATGGTGAGCAGTGTGATTCAAAAGGTAGTGGTGTATGTAGTGGAGTATAGTGATGAGGGTCTGTTAGGTGTGTGTTTGGGGGTGCAAGTGTGTGTGTGTGTGTGTACATGTATGCAAGACTATGTGAGTGTAGTGTGTGGTGTATGTATGTATGGGAGTGTGGTGCTGGGACTTGCAGAGGCTAGGGTGGGGTTGGAGTGTGGGCATGGATATGGGTGAGCAATTGTGCGTGCATGTATGTATTCGGAACATATTCCTTTACGTTAATGTGTGTGATACAACCGATAATAATTAATATAAAACTAACAATGTCTTTTCAATGAAACATGTTAGTGAATAGTTCTGCATTACAAAATGCTTTTCAGATTAAAAGTACTTACTTCTTGTGTTGTGCCAAGACGCTTTGTAGGAATGCCAGCACGGGCTCTTTCAAAAATATTATCTTCATTGTAGTTCCTTGCTGCTGTGGGTGAGTAGATGGAGCTCCCTGGAGCTACTGAATTTATGCGCACTCCACTCTGTGCCCACTCAACTGCTAAGCTCTACAGAAAAAAATATAAATGACAGTAGGCATCTTAGTAATGCAAGCAGACTCATATTAATCAAATATTTATCATTAATTCTGGTGAAAACTTAAGTGAAACATGTTAATTGCATCCATCACATTGTGAAGGTCTTCAATTCTCATCTACACAAGCTCATATAACACTATGGTAAAGTACTGTGGTGAAAAGGGTAAAAAATGTGGTAACAATAAGGATAGAATGTATTAGATGTCAAAGACTGTTGAGAAATATAGGATAATACAGAAGTGAAAAGAATAAAGAGAGGAGAGCAAATGGAGTGTGGTGGGGATAAGTAAAACGGGAAGGAGTTAAGGACATATGGTGATTAAATCAAATGGAGGGCAATGATATGTCTGTGGAAGGAAAAAGAGTACTGTATGAGGAAAACTGCAAAAGTGCCATTATAAAACAATCAATGTGTAATAAGGGTAGAAATGGGTATTGAAGAAGTAGGAGAAGAATCCAGGGAATGAGATAAGAGAACAGGGGAAGTGGTGAAGTATCTGGAAGAATGTCAGGAGGGGAAGGATCGGGAGAAGGACACTGTTGTGACACTTGAGTAGCCAGATGGGAGCAGTAAGGATAATGGGAAAAGAAGAGGGAATGGTGCACATGGAGAAGGGGAGGATGGGGTGTGTTGGAAGGGATTGGGAGGAAGAAGGGTAAGGGGAACTTGAGGAGGAGGAGGATGCATAGCAATTGCTTTGAATGTAGAGGGAATAGGAATTGAGAACTTGGAGGGTGGATGAGAGAGCAGAATGTTTTCTTGGGTTATGTTCAGGAACTTTTGGTTGTCTTCAAGAGTTTCTCTGAGAAACAGAGATTTTCTTATTAGGAGGAGAAGAAGAAACAGAAGTCCGAGGAGGTGTGTGTAGGAAAGAATGTGATAGGTACTGGTTTGCCAGTGAGGTCAGTCAGAGTAAATAGTACATGGGCCTGGGACTCAGATGTAACTATTACAAGGCATAAATGATCAAAACGACTGTGAAAGAAAACTTTGCCTACAGTAAGTCCTCAACTTAAGAACATAATGGGGACCGAGAGGCTGTTTGTAAGTTGATTTGTTTGTATGTCGAAAGTCGTGTCTCCATTACCTTTTTTCCCATTGTTTTAAAGTTTTGTTTAAATTAAGAATACCTGTAAATAAATCCCAATAAATACAACATACCTTATACAGTACCAGACTCTTGAACTATATTCGAGCTGGGAAATTTGAAGTTTGCTAGCATCTTTCAAACTATTTTTTGGACTTTAGTACTTCAAAATTTTTGTTTGTATGTATGGAATGTTCATAAGTAGGGGACTATCTGTATTTGTTTTTGGAGACAATGTTGGAAGAGAATGGTACTGTCAGAGTAAGGGGCTGTAGGGGGAATCACAAAAATTTGATCCCATATGGCTGGGCTACAAAGAGTACTCAAAAGGTTTGCAGAGGTTGAAGCAGTAGAAGGATAAGTGGAGTGAGTTAGTACTGTGAGGAGGAGGACAATAAGGATGAAGAGTAGTAATAAGGGAGGGGGCAGACAATGAAGAAGACTGTGGAGGAGGAGATGGAATGGAGGATGTTGGGTGAGAGGAAGAGGTGTATTATAAAAGTTGAGTAATGATTTGGAATGGATAGAGTTGACAGCAAGCATCTAGTAGGGGATGTTTGTATC